GGGGGGGCATGCCGAGGGCGCAGCAAAAAAGAAAGAAACAGAACCGGTCGCGTTTTATTGCACCGCGGCTTCGCTTCTCCAAGACCTGCCGGTCAGGCGCAAACAAGGTTAGATCAGGAACTCCACCTCGATTGGGGTTACCCCGTCTCCATCAGAGGAAGGGAATGGGGCAACCGCTGTTCGATGTTTTTGGGATCGCGGGATCCAGAGCCCGGCTGGCATCTACTGTATCAAGCGTTCCCTCGGCTAGTGCTACCAGTTTAGTCTCGAGGCACGGCTCTCTATCACAGCTGAGAGTTGGGTGCACCAAGCTGGGCGTAATCATTAAGCCGCCATGATTCTGTTCTCTGAAGGCTTTTTTTTTCTGCGTCCTCATGCTCGGCAAAGTGGTTAAATTGAGCGCCCACTTCTGCTCGCTTCTCTGCCAACTCCTGTGCCACCCCGACACGACCCTGGCGCTCACTTTGCGCGTCGTGACTTGCCGGCGGAGCCGCGCCCAGCGAAGTGGCACATGATGGAGAAGCAAATATGATAGAAAGGTGCACAGACTGAGCCAGATGGTCCAACACACCAGTGGCGTGCATTGGTGGCTTCTGGATGGAAAACAGAAAAACTCTGGTGTCATCAGCTACTACTCATCGCTGCGTGGGCGGCTTATTTACTACCACCTACCTAGTAAAGGCATCTCGAACGTCGTTCACGTCGAGGGAGGGCTGATCTTCGTTCCGGGTCGTCGATTCGAGTCGTCTAAACCGGGCCTTCAGCCAGCCATGTGCTGGGTCAGGGCGCCAGCTTAGGCTCTGTCCTGTCCCAGGGTCAGGGACGTTCCTTGTCGTGCTGCACCCTGAATGCGGCAAACTTCGGCCAGCATTTCGCAAGGGTTGACAACCCGGTAATGAAGGGTTTGACGGCCCTCGTCGCATCCGAACACGGTAGCCTGGGTGTACCTGTTCACATTTCCGCTTCCGCGCACGCGTCTCTGTTCTTATTTCTCACGCTGGGATGGGCTGTCTGTCCCCTGGGCAAGGCCACGGTCTGATCGTGTAGGGATGTGAGGGACTGACTGCTTTCGCTCTCCCTTGTGGTGACAAGGTTTGGCGACTGAGGCTTCCTCGAAGCCAAAAATGGAAAGCAGCTCAGTCGGCGGTCCCGCCAGCGCTGTCCCTACCGGACGCTGCCCGATTTGATCCTAGAATACCAGGCTGGGGACTGTGTTAGGCGCCGCGCCATGGTGTCTCTCAGCGGGGTATAGCACGCGCTCGCTGCTGGACAGATGCCGAGATAGACCCCGGCATGGCCGTCGAAGGATTTTATTGCGTAATACGGGTTGTGATTTATGAAAACGGAGCGGAGCAGGACGAATGCACGAGGTTGGAATAGAAACACGAAAAAAGGGAGAGGGAAATGACGGTGTAAATATGCAATTTCAATGCTTGCGATGTGCACTAAAACTCGAGGGCCAAGCAGCAGAGGGCGCTGCAACCGGGAAACAGACCCAGATGAAAACAGAAGCGCAGCAGCGCCAAATAGCAGAGGCCAACAATCAAAGCCGGTCCAAGGTAGCCGTGGTAGCCTCGGGTAGTCCATCGCAACAACACAAGGCCTGGCGGGGGTTCCGCCGTTGTTGTGATGAAAGGGGGTTTGAGGGACCGAACGAGCGCGGATCGCAGGGCGTGTTTGGGTTTCACCTAGAAGCTGATCTGGGGAACACAGCACGATTTTGAACGGATTGGCTTCCCTACCACCTAGCGCAGACGGCTGCCAGGCTAGGAGACAGGGCTCCATGCTAGCTGCAACGCTCGCATCGCGAGGCAGTCAGGCTTGAGCCCGGCCAACCACAGCACTGTCGGACCTGCCTAGGGTTGTAATACAGCCAAGCAGGGCATCACCACCCTACGACGCCACCAAGATGGCCGAATCTCACCCACAGTATTTCGTGCCTCCCTATATGTGCGAGTGTGTTCGTGTTCGTGCAGAGGCCTGCGGCAGCTAGGCAGGCGACCGCAATAGGCATGCGTCGCGCCTCGCTCTATTTCGCTTTCGCCCGCAACTCACACATCAGAAATGAGCGGTGGGCAGCGGGCAGCAGCCAGCGCAACAGAGCATCGCAGGGCGGTCCGCAAATAGACAGCGCCCGCGGTCAAGGGACATCTCGGATGCAACCAAGCGCTCGGGAAAGCAGCTCAATGGATGCATACATGTCTCTGGCTGCTGGGGTTGCATTGCTCGCGTTGGCCTTCTGGGCTACTGTCGTTTGAGTGGCTGAAATGAGCGGCCATAATAAAAAAAGTTCCACAGTGCGCGCATATCCATCCTAGTGGCCCACCCCCTCTCCTGGTGGGCGCCCCAGTCTGTCGCTGTTGTGCCTGCGCACCTGCACAAGCAGGCCTGATGGGGCCCACTCCACCCACCTGCCCACTCACACGACCGTGCGAAATGCAGGTGAGCCCTCCCTATCGCCCGCTCACCCTTGTGCACACATTGACACACACGCCCACACACGCCCACGCACAGTGCTGGGCGCTGCTGCTGGACAGTGGCCGGTGGCCCTCCTCCCTCCACCCTTTGGTCGACTCCATTCCTTCTTCTCGACTCTGTCCTGCTGCCTTTGAACATCTTCGTCCAACATCACCACCACCACATCCTTTCCTTTCTCCCCACCTCCTACCACCGCCGCCCCGGGCCAATTCCAGTCGCGAGTCTTGAGATTTGCGCTGGTCTTGACCGTCCACTCCTTTTTACACCAATTCTTCCCGCCGCCGAGCCTGAGGGCCGTACTGTGCCGACCGATCGCATTCGTGCTTCAGACTCGCGAATTGCTTCGGTGCCATCTTGTCTGCTGTGCGTGCGTCGCCCTCTGTCGCTTTTGTATCATTCTGCCTTTCCGCCGCGCAACCCCAAGGCTCGCATTCGGCCGCGATTCAATTCACTCGTGTTCTGCGCCCCAGCCTGTCCGCCCAACGACGCAGGAGGCTCCGGCTGCTAACCTCGCCCTCTCCAGCCCGCCAACAGCAGTTACCGTCCATCGATCCCCCAAGACCGACGAACTCGCTCGACCGCGCACTCTTTGCGGAGGCCTTTGGACCGATAACACACTAGCAGCACCCGACCGTTCCTTGTCTCAACTCGACAGCAACCCCATGTCACCTCTGTCTTTCTAGGGCGCCTCTCGATTCTGGTGCCGCAGCGCGGCTGGGAGAGACCATGGCAACCGCGGTCGGTTCCGACATGCCGATTTCCCCTAGGCTCGTCGTCTCGGCCCATGCCGCGGACGGCGATCTCGACGGAGATACCACAATCGACCAAAACTCGCCATCGTCGCCTCGATCGAACCCCCCGCCGAACCCGCACTTTGTCTTTCCTGCTAGGCCAGCCCCCTCTTCAGCCCCTTCCTCCTTCTCACGTGCAAGCGGCCGGAGACCAAAATCACTGGTCGACTCCTTTCAACTGGGACCCCTCACGCATGCTGAGCCCAACAGGCGAAAGTCTCTGTCTCCCGCCCTGCCCGACTTTTCCTTCAACCCTGGCGTTCGGCCTCCCGCTCCTGACCGTGCGCCCTCTCCATCTCGGTCTCTTGCGCTCCCCGATTTCAAGTTCAACCCGGGTTCCGGGCTTACATCACCACCGCCCGTGCCAGAACATCCGTTTTTGAGCCCGCCACTGTCCCCTCACTTACCACAGGCCCCATCTTCTCCGCGAGCGATCCCTACTCGCCCGGGCGGAGGGCACAGGCGCGGGGGTAGTGAATTTGTGGGCGGCCAGATTCGGAGTGGAGATGCCATCACTGTATTGGGCACCAGCCCGACCAAATCCGAGAGTGGGCTTGCGTCGCCTCAACTCAAGCCGGCGAACCCGCGCAGAGGGCATGCGCATAGACGATCCGCCGCCATCTCCAGTCATGACCTTTCCATGATCCTGAAGCCAATAAATGCGCAGCCGCGTGGTAACAGCGCACCGAACAGTCCTGCGACATTTGGGCGCGTTGACGACCAGCCGTTTCCTGATTTGTCGTTGCAACAAACACCAGAGCCGAAAGAGTCGAGCGATACCAAAATTTCCTCCGAGGCCGCGGCAGATGTTCTCCCAAAGAGTGCGGAGAGCGACGGCACGGAAACGAAAACCCCGTCCCGGCCTTCGACCCGAGCTCGTGTTGGATTTTCCGACACGCTCGAGTTCATTCCTCGACCTCTGTCCCTGGTTTCAAGCGACACGTCGAGTACTATGACGGCCCGTCCGGGCCATTCGCTTTCAGGCAGCATCTCGTCCATCATTTCCCTGACGGGTTCTACCAGTTTGGATAGGGAGGTTAGCGCCATGGCCACAAGCCCTCCACGGCAGTCAACGGATGCGCGGCCGAGCACTGCCGGAGCCATTCTGGAACGATCAATGAGCCCGCCAGCCCCTGAAAGCGCGAGGTCCCCTCTTCGTCGCAACTCGATCCCTCTTCTCAACGTCCCCTCCCTCGCTATTCAAGCAGATCCAAGCCTGGACACACCCAGCCCAAGCAAAGTGCCGAAGCGGTGGTCCTTCTTCGGTCTCGAGCCCTTCGTTGGAGCTACGTCGCCGACGCGCACCCGTCCGCTTAGTCCTAGCTCTTCTGAGCTAGCCAACAAGGTCGCCAATTCGTCGTCTTCTGACGAACGCGAAGCTGGCCACTCGACTGAGCCGGATGTTGACGTTCAGGGCAACCAGGAGGTGTCGCATAATGCCTCCAAGAAAAGCAACAAGAAGAAGAAGCAAAAGAAGGTCAGGACCTGGGCAGGCTCGATACTTACACGCAAGTCAAAGCATCGCCACGCCAGGAAGAGCTCCAGGAGTAGGGTCCAGACGCCGCCACCTCCAACCGAAGACCTGACCGACGAGGATTCAGACGGCACCACCGAATTGAACCTGGAAGCCCCTACTCAGGCGGATGAGTCTCCCGCAGCAAACACTATGGAATGGCAGGCAAGACCGCCGACGCCGCCCGAGGACGATGCTCCTTTCCCAATGATCGACCTGGATGCTGCCCTGGGGCCTTTCAATACGCCCCTCCCGAGGAACGCGGAGTGGGACGCGGCACAACGGGCAAGCGGGCTGGTCAAGCGCCCCCTGCACAGCGCCGCTCGGCTGTCACCCAACATGGGCTATCAGCACCGGCGAGCTGAAAGCGCGCCCGAGATGCCTCCGTTTAACCGTGCCAGCATCCCTCGATTCAGCAGCAACTCGACCATGGCTGATGTGTTCGAAGAGGATGAGGAGGACGAGGCCAAGGCCGCTGAGAAAGACAAGGGCTCCAGCTCTGTCAAGGGCGATGGGCCAGCTCATGACGTCGGCGCGGCGAGCATAGATATCAGGGTCACTGCCGACGTACCACGCTCGCCTTTTGATCGAGTCATTGACCCCAACGATGATGCTGTTTCGTCGCGTGCGGTTAGCCGCAAAGGCAGTGGGCTGAGCGGGTTTAGCGACGATGACAAGACGGAGCAAAGCATGTGCCTCACGTCGGAGTACTCGGCCAGCTCGCTCCACGATGAAATCATTATGGAGGAGTCGGGGAGCCCCAAGTGGCACGGGCCTGACGGCAATTATTCCATGAAAGGCGACACATCTGGCTCGTCGACGCCTTCGCCGCGCCGGGCGTTCAAGGGGAAAGATCTGGCTCCTGTGGATGTCAGCCCTCTCCATCTGCCGACTCCGTCTATGGTGCCTGTGAGCCCATACTCGATCGGGCAGTCATCTTCGTTCTCCTCGCCCAGGTCGCCCATGTCGTACGAGGACGGGAACCGCATCTCAACGGCGCCGTCGTCGGTGACGGAGGACAACTTTCAGTCGTTGCTGATGGGGGAGCCTGGGCCCGAGGTGCGACTCTCGATGGACATTCCGTCACTTACTAGCAGTAACTCGACGATGACTAGGGAGAGCGCCTTTGTGCACCACCTCTCACAGGCGCCAGTTCCAGGCGAGCGACCGGCCTCATTCTCCTCGCCCTTTGGACGCAGAGGCAGTTTGGCGAGCATTGGCCGCCTGATCAGCACGTCACACGGGGAGCGTAGCAAGTTGTCGATCGAGGTGTCACTCGAGGCTGAGGAGAAGAAGTCTAAGACAAGCAAGGCCAAGCGTCTCAGCCGTCTGATGCAGTTCTGGAGGCCCAAGGAGAGCTCGGCCAAGGCGTGAGACCAGGGCGGCTCATGATCCACACTCGAGGCTCGACTGCCCTTTTCGACTTCCATCCACGACCCAGTGCCAGAACTCCGGATTCCGACAAGGTTACGACTCTAGTGCCGGCGACCCTTGCTCGGGCTATTGAGAGGCGAGATGGCATGCTTGGCAGTCACCCAGCTGCCCTTGCTGCTAGCTCCATATGCTTTTGGCCTTGATCCATCCCTTCGTCGTTGGGCAAGAGGCCGCCGCAGGGTGCCGTTGGCCGACGTGATGGGATGTGGTTTACTCCTCGTTCCTTTTTCGTTCCCTTTTCCCCCTCAACAACGTTCCATCATATGACTCTTCATGGCTTTTGGGCGTTGGCACATATTATTTTGTTATCTCCTTTTCTTACACTCGTTCATTGATGACAGCATGAGGATAAAGCTTTGCATGACATCTCCCAAGACATTTACGTCATCCTCATTTAAGCACACAAGACAAGACACCAAGGAGATCAAGTCGGGAGAGGGAGGTTCGATGGCGAGGCGGGTGTCGCGCGTTCTGTGCGGTGCCTGCCATCGCTGGTATGTCACTGGGTGCTGCTCGCAAGGTTCCTAGGCCACGCACAGGTTCTATGGCGGCACGGGGGCGGGTGGGCCGGGATAGGGGCAAGTACGGAGGGGGGCGCAAAAGTCGTGTCTGCTCTCTGGGCTCGTCTGGCTCGCGCCAGCGATCCCTTGACAGATTACGTTGCTCTTTATTTGTCCCAGTGGGAGGATCATGGTGTTTTGGAATTTTTTTATGTTGATTTCTTTCTCTCTTTCGTTAATTATACTTTTCTGTTTGTTCTTGCAGGGTTGGCTTCGAAGCTCTGTGGCCCCTACCTGGGAGTACCAGAACGGACACGAGCAGCCCTAGCAAATGAAACAGCCGAAGAAACAAAAAAGCAAGAAAAAAAGGAAGAAAAGGGGTGAGGGAGGAGAGGATGAGATGGGGGGCATGGAGGGGATGCCGAGTCAAGTAACCAAGACCACTCTGCAATACATTTATGCACAGTACGTAGACACCATAATAATGAAGTTGGTCCGTTCCAAGGGCAGAACCAGCTGAGAGTGCACATTGTGGCCGTTCGCATGGCTGATTTGATGGTGTGAATGGGAGCGTCTTGGATGGCGGACGCGTTGGCTGGCGTACAGCACAAATTCCACGAGACGGTGCATCAATCATCTTGTTTGTTGAGGAAGTTGACTGGGTGACTGGTTAGGTAGCCCCACATATTGTGCCTGACGGGGCCATTCACGAGGTGCATGGGATGCAGCTGAAAGGTCGGCAGGTCGGCAGGTCCCGCAGCAGGAGCGCAATTGAATTGCACGACTGTGTCGATTTGACCTGCTGTCTCGACCGGTAGCTCTGTTGAATTCTGGAAGCAGCAGTACCTGCCGAGAGACCGCCTTCTTCCAACCTCGTTGTCTCTATCACACGGGCAATCAAGAAAGGTGTCAGGTCAGCCTTGGTTTTGGCCCGTCATTGCCCAAGCAATCAGACACGAGTCCATCCATATATAATATAAAATAAAGAAGCCCAACACCGGCACTCACAGCAATCTACCTGCGTACAACACAATCAAACACAAACACAAGCATAGGCACAAGCACAAGAACACACCGTCACGGCCAGCAAAAACAATGTCGTCCGCCTCGGCCTCGTCCTCGGCGCGGTCGGCGACGCGCCGGCTGCTCAAGGAGCTCACGGCCTGGCACGCCGAGTCGGGCGCCGAGGAGGGCGTGGAGCGGCTGGGCCCGGCGCGTGAGGGCGAGCTGCTGCGGTGGGAGGCGGTCATCAACGGGCGGGGGATCGGCGGCGGCTACGACGGCGGCCGCTGGCTGCTCGACATCACCATCCCCGCCACCTACCCTCTGCACCCGCCCGCCGTGCGCTTCGTCACGCCCGTCGTGCACGCAAACGTCGGGCTCGCCGACGGCGAGGTCTGCCTCGACCTGCTCAAGGAGGCCTGGACCCCGGCCTACAGCGTCCTCGAGACGGTCCGCGCCGTCCGCCTGCTGCTCGCCACCCCCGAGCCCGACTCGCCCCTCAACGTGGACGTGGCCGCCCTCGTCCGCGCCGGCGACGCCATGGGCGCCGCGCGGCTCGTCGAGTTCTGGATCCGCGACGGCGGTGGCAGGTACGACGGTGAGTGAGTGAGTCAGTAGTGTGTGCGGCCGCCAGTCGGGCGCGAGCGGGTTATACCTCGCGTTACATCAGTTTGTCGACGGATGATGGACTCTGGGGGGTGGTGGTCACTTTTGTTTTCGTCGTCGAGACGAGGCCGGTCACGCGGGGAAGGTTACGATGTCACTTGGATGTTTCCTCTGCTTTTTGGTGTGTCTGTCCTTTTGTCCTTTTTATCGTTATAGAAGTTGTAATCATACGTACTATAATCTAGAGCTCGGTCGACGAAGAAGTAGCAGCTAGAGAGGAAAAAGGCTCATATGTAGGGTCCAATGGTGGGGTAAGGTTACTTGCTATATGGGCCAAGCTATTGAAAGTGAAAGTTCTCGAGCAGCTTCAGGTGGGGGACGGACGAAGAGGAACATAGACGGGAAGCATTGGAAAAGATGAAAAGCACTTGACTATGCGCTCAAATCACAATCAGGGTATCCCATCCTTTGCGGGTTCCATGAGTGCTCCGCGGCCGGAGGTACATGTGATTACGTCAGGGGGAGGAGGGAGAAAGTGAATAGGTGAAGGGTAAAAAATATATAAATAAAAAAAAAGACGAAAAAGTAGACCAGGCCCAAGATGACCCGTTTGGGTGCTTTTGTCGTGTCGTCTGCGGCAATCGTATATCCGTCCGTCCGTCCGTCCGTCCACCAATCCCCTCGATGCCGGGCCCAAGACTCCTCCCAATACTATGATATCGTACAGAACTGCGGGCCCGCTCTTGAGCTTGTCGCCGCCTTCCTTCTCACCCAGGGTATACACACAGCCATCAATCCTCTTGTCCCAAATCCTTGGACTCCTTCTCCCCGCCAACACCTGCGAAGTCCGCCCCTCGTTCGCCTGTATTTTCCCGTCCCTAGATCAAAATCAGCCCGTCGTTACTTGCCTGCTTCCCCAAACCCGACAGACAGTCATGGATGATTCCCAAACCACCCAAACCACCTCCCCTAGATTTCGTTCAGCCCTTCTTCTCATTACGTTACAAGTATACAAAACAAAACCGAACCCCCGCGTTGTTACCCAACAAGAGCGCGGGCAGAAGCCATGACGGTGATTAGGTGTATAGCCTCGTAAAGGAAGGGTAAAGGATAAAGGTATGGAGTAAGGAAGTTAAAATGCAGAATAAAACACCCCCCGAACTTGGTATCAAAAGATATGCATTGGTGTTGTTACAGTAGTTTCTGACAGGGCTGCCCGCGGTTTCCGATAGCCGTGGTACCGTACGTGCTTGCAGACAGCAGCGAGATGGAATCGCGATCTCTCCAGCGTTCACTTCTCGCTAAAGTCCTGAGGAGTCACGTTCTGCGTGAACTGGAACTGCTTGCTAGACTTCGGTGGGAGGCCGGGCGACGACCTGGCCGAGGAGTCGGGCACGAACGATTCGGGGAACGTATACTCGGCAATGCCGCCTCCGTGCATCATGCCAGCGCTGCCGCTGTATGGTACCACTGAAGGCCCAGTGGCTGACCAGGGGTAGGCGCCGAAAGAGGCGGGGCCGATACTGTGTGGGAACGAGGGCGTCGGCGGTTGGCTGCTGCCAATGTAACCGGGTGCCGAGGACGCCATGGCGAACTCCTCGGACCCAAAGCTTCCCAATCCGGGCGTCACCAGGGGCTCGTCCTGCGGGTTGAAGTTCCAGGCCGCCTCAAAGGTGTTGATCTGACCTGGCGCCATCTGGTGCTCCTGGAATCCGGTACCACCGACCCCGTTCAGGCCCGGCGTGCCGGGTGGTGTCTTGAGCGTGCCTGTGAAGAAGCCGCCGGCCATGGCCGAAGGAGGAGCGCCAATTCCATAACTTTGCTCTTCGTCAGATGCGCTGGACGCCACCGTCGCCTCCCTGGTCCCCTGAGTGGAGGCCATTGCCGACGCTCCGCCAGTGCCAAAGTATTCGCCCGAAGGGGTCATGGGTGACATGACATTGCCAGCGATGGAGCCCCCCAGCACGGGCGAGCGGACCGCCGCCACGGTGCTCTGGAGCGATCGCATGAGCGCATCCTTGGTGCGCTCCCGGGTCAGTGGCGACCGAGGAGCCCCCGAGCCACCAATGTTGGCGCAAGACAGCGATTTCTGGATCCTACCCGGCATGGTGGGCCCCGTGGCCGACGCGATGCGCCTGATTCCAGGGCTGGCTGCGTCGGACCGCTTCGACATGTCCAAGCCCGTCTTTGGTCCGTACGAGTACGCCCTGAGCGCCGTTGCGTTAAGCTGCGCCGGCACGCCCTTGTTTCGCCTCGAGGCGATGTTGGACGGTGGAGGAGGGGACTTGAAGCGCAGGTCGTCTGGCGTAGGCGGCGACATTACTGTTGGGTTCGGAGACGAGATCTGCTGTCGGGCGTGCCCGGCCAGCAACGGGATGCTATTATCGGCGGCAGCTTGGTGGGCACTTGACGAGTCGTGTTCGCTGTTCATTTCCAAAGCAGCCTGCGACTGCTGCTCTTCCTCCTCTTTGATTTCATGAAGCTCCAGTCGTCCGAGAAGCTGAGACGGGAACGAAGGTGTCGGTGCCAGGATCGAGTCGGGGCCCGTAGTGGGGGCGAACTGGTGGTAGCTGAAAGGTAGCTGGTCCTGGTCTCGCGGCGATAGAAAGCTGGACATGGAGAAATTGTCTTGCATTGCCGTTCGAGGAAGCACACCCTCAGCCTGCCCGGAAAACTCGTCCTGATACTCGCCTTGGCTCTCGAGTCCCGGGGCGAATACTGAGGCGTGTGGCGTGAAGTGTGAATCGGCCGTGGTGTCTGAAGGTTGAAAGGGTAGTGAATCGGGCGACGGGTATTCTTCCTTCACGCCATTGCCGCAAGAGTCGCTGTTCTCGATGCTCGGTTGCAATGACTGGCCGACAGGGGATGCGTAAGAGAACTCGTCTGCGGGGGGCGTGTCTTCTGTGAGCTCTGCCTCTTGGCGAGGCTCCGGGAAAGGAGCCGATGATGGCCTGCCGCTGTGCTGCGATTGGTTCTCCATGTCAAAATATTCGCTGCCCACACCTTCAGCGTCGGTATCTGGTGACCTGGTAGAGCCCGCTTCCGACAGATCGTGCTGCTCTGCCGCCCGGCGGGCCGCGAACTCCTGGGTCTTCTTGATACCCTTCTCCTTTGCTCTCCGGTTTTGGAACCAGTTCTGGATTGGTATGGTCAGCCAACAGTCACCAGGAAGGGTTGCCACCCAATGACCCCACAGGCACACCGCCATCGAACACAAAAGCCTGCCTGCTTCTAAGAGATATTGAGGCACGGCTGCCATGAAACTTCTCGCTCGAGGACGGTCAAGGCATTGTATTTGCAGAGATTATCGGACACAGAATATGTCAAAAAGGACTCACGTTGATTCTTGGTTGATCGACTTTGAGGATATCTGCGATCTCCCGCTTACGACCGCTACTGGGCTTCTGGTTCTTCTGGAACTCCTTTTCCAAAAGCTCCACCTCGTCCTTGGCTAGCCTGGGCTTCGGCTGTTCCTGTTTCGTTTGCGGTGATGCGTTGGCAGCGGCCTGGGCCTGGTTCAGCATGGTCCTCTGTTGCTGCATCTGGGCGAGCACGAGCAGCTGTTCGTTCGTGTAAGGGAAAGAGAACCCCTGGGTCGGCGGTCGCTGTGGGGTGAACTGTCGGTGTTGGGCCTGGGGATGCTGCTGGTGCTGGAGCTGGAGCTGGACGTGGTAGGGATGCTGCGGTTGCTGTTGCTGTTGTTGGTGGTGTTGGTGGAGCGGGTACCTTTGCTGTCCATGCTGTTGCTGGACCGTCGGAGCAGCAGCGCCATACTGAGGCAAAAGATAGCCGGGCTGGTGGCCACGGTTGCGGAACATGTTTGCGTAGTCCATCCTGCCTGTCGTTGATTTCCCAGCCAGGGCGTCAAGAGGCGGGGAGAATGAGGTATCCGAGGCGCCTGACAGCAGCGAAGTGTCAGGCTTCCTCTCTCGGGAAAATTTATATCCGGGATCGCCCACGCTCGAGGTGAGGTTGATAAAGAATGACTGTGGAGGGGCGCCCGCGAGCGATGATGTAAAAGAACGGCCGCTTCCAAAAGTGAGTGTATCTGGTAGCGACAGCGAGGGCTTCCAAGCTTGAAAGGACCTAGTGTGAGCGCTGGAGAGCAGGCCGAGGCGGGACCTGAGGCGTTTAAGACGACCGCACAGATAGGCGAGGGCGCCGTGGGGGACGCAGGGGCGTGTTCTTCCTGATCACAGCCGATAGGCCAAGCAAGGGCTGGCAGTGATGGACACGAGGGGATGTGAAACAGAACCGCTAGCGAGTCTCTCCTGCCCAATGCGCGTCCTGTTCCTGTTGGTGAGCTGAAGCCAGGTCCCCGAGGCGGTTTCAACGAAAGCAAAACAAGAGACAAGAGGGCGGCAGGGACCAGAGTCGAACAGGCCCAGGCACGAGGAGTATAGGGAAGAGGAAGGGAGTGGGGTGGTGTTGTAGAAGAGGCAGAGAGGTTTCTCACTGTCGCTCACAGCGTTTCGCCGCCCGCCCATCTCCCATGCTCATCTCACATCCCTCGCTCGGCTCACTTTGGGCTGGGCTGGGCTGGGCTGGGGGAGGGGTGTGAGTGTGTGTGCGCGTGCGGTTGGGATGGGGGGACGACGAGGAGGAACGGCCAGCAACAAGCAAGCAGGGCAAGCCCTGGGAGGGGTGTGGAGACGCAGCAGGCCCGTATCGCGCAGGTATCGAGGTACCTCATGGCCATTGCGCAGCTTGCGGTGACTCTGGTGGACCCAGAGGCTTTGGCAGCCAGCAGGCAGAGAGGGCGAGGCCAGCAGGAGGGGGAGAGAGACAGCCAGCTTTGGACAGGGGTATGGGCTGGGTTCAAAGCGCCATGGGCTGGGTCGACGGCGGGAGGGCACAGCAACTGTGCTGCACCCTGCACCCTGGCCCAGGGCCTCTCCATTGCCTGCGGGCGAGGACATGGCTGATTGACCAAGATGGGGATGGATGGGGCCACACGCAAAAAAGCCAGCAGGGGGGGGGGGGGGGTGG